TCGTGTATGTAAATATTTTCGCATCGGAGCGATGTGCGAAAAGTGATTTAAAAGTTTAATTTTAATGGTCAACAAAGGGAGCCGCGAAATTGCATGTATTTTGGTGGATTCTAAAAAAACCACCAACTCGAGGGAAGTGTATACAATAAATATGTTAAATTTAAGCTTGGTATTTTAAGCACAGAAGGTGCAACATTGGCATTTTGATATATAAGGTATTTTTATTGGTTAAATCTAAGCTGTGTTCAGATTTATTGACATTAATTTATTTATAAAATAAATATAAAAGCATTTTATAATAAACAAGACTTATTTCTAGATCTTTAAAGCGGTATGAATATATTAAAATTAGAATTTATAGCAAGTTCACACTCTAAAATTGTGTTTCACATCTTCAAATTATTCCAATCGTTCCTTTTACAAAGAGTGACAGTGTGAATGCATGCATTTTGCTTGAAATACTTTAACTATCCCGCAGCCCTGCAATTTTTCGTTTCAGTTTTTTTCTGTTTGAATAATTGTGAAATCTTAGAATTTGCTTTTATTATTATTACTCTCTCTCCATGCTAATTAAAGCGCATAAATAAGCCAATATCTGCAAGTTTTTCAGCTGTCCCGCCAATAAGAAGAGTGCCAGAAAGAGCCAGTTAATTGATTTACGACTTTCAATAAAATCGTAGAGAGGCAACTTATCATTACCGCCACCACCACCACCACCCCCTTTTTGCAATGTCGGCTAAGCTAAAACAAACTAATTTCAGGCTAGAACCGGGACCGAACCGTCGAGGGCAATAAAGTAAGTTAACGATCCCAGCCGAGGAAGGAGTGAAAACTGGAAGCAGCCGTGACATTGAAGAGCCCCGGCCGAAGAGTTCTTCAATTAGTGTAAACACAAACGATGACACTCTCCACGGACCAAAGACCCGAGGAAACCGAAGAGCAGAGCCAATTTTCAGTGCCAATCCCGGGGTCTCTCGTCTCGTCTCCAGACACTTTAATATTTAACGCCCCTGGGAGCCAGCAGCAGCAGCAGAGACCAGAGACAACAACCACCGAGGAGCTGAGCTGGCGACAATGGGGCCCAAACAACGCCAACGAGTATTCCACGAATATGTTCGTGATCATAAAATTATAATTTATGAACAAAAAAGCAGCACTGCAAGCTTATCTCATCGCGGGCATCGCCAAGTGCGCACATATGGAGGCAGGGGCAGGGCGCGAGATGCATCCTCAGATGCTGCGATGTGGAGATGTGGAGATGCCGAGATGCAGATGCAACACCGACAACAGCCCGACAACGATGACAACGTTTGGAGCAATTTTGGAGCGCGGCTCGCGTCAATTTTTGTGGAGTGAGACAAAAATAAAGCAAAGGAGATGCTTGCGACCCAAAGCACTGAGAGAAAAATCTCTTAAATTTGATAATTAAAGTATAAATTATCAGGTAAATTAAAATCATTTTAAATTTGAAAGCTTGAATCCTGGAAAACTCATTTAAAATATTATTTAAATTTAATTAACTATTTTTCTCATTTTCTATATAGTTTTTTTCTGTATGTAAAAGTCCCTTTTCTCTCAGTTATACCCTCTGTCATGGGGGTGATTGTTGTTATTGTTATTCCGGTTGCTGCCGCTGCTGCTCTTTCGGTTTCCAGGAAAGACGCCTTGGGCTCTGGCTTGCTGGTTACTTGAACAATATTTTCATATTTATTCAGGCTCTCGTTGGACCTCTCCGCTTGACACATTGGCTGGTAGCCAGGGCCAGGGCCAGACCCAGTCCCAGAGCCGGTCAGAGATCCCTTCCAAAGCGAAACTAATTTGCGGTTTTGGCGAGTCAGTCGTCATCTGCAATTTCCTTTGCCTGTGTGTTATTGTGCCACGCCCACTTGCCAAAGAGGGGGCTTAATAAGTTAGATCTTTTATTTTATTTTATTTTGTTTCTCTTTTTTTTTTTTTTTGGCAAGGGAAGAATGTTCTTCGTTTTGGGGTCAACTTGCCCTGGGCTCCGACACACGCATCATCTCCTGTCTCTGTGCCCCTCACCATTTCCGTCTGGCGGGGAAAAACATTTTGTTTGGCTTCTCCAGCAGCTTAATTAAATTCTTTTCACTTGTTCCGAGTTGCTGCTGCTCCCCCTGATTGAGAGAATTCAATCGAGTCTGAGCGTAAAAACAAATTAGTTTAGCGAGAAACCGAAAGTTTATCAATTAAGTGGCCGCCGTCGCTGAGATTCACTATGCGAATTGCATTTGATTGGGTTCTCGCTTTGATTGTAACAAAATTTACTTTGGGAATAAAGGGAAAATATCTCTGTATATAAGGATATGACTTATAGCTAAGTTCTGGCATGTTTTGTTGGGTTTTATGATAAGTAGATTCTACATTTTAAATTATTTTTGGACTTTAAGTGTCTTCCTTTAAAGTCTAAAATATTTTAAAATTATTTAAATAAAAAAAAACATCTTATAATATATTTTTTCTTCTAGGTATCTACATCTTCGGCTTCTCTTAACCTAGACTTTTCCTTCTGATGTAATTTTTTTGTGAATTATTTACTCACTTCTTTTGAGTCTGCTGGACTGCAGGATTCATTGTCCGATTTTCTGGGGGCTTTTGTTGAGCGTGAAATTAAAAATGATCCTCATCGAAGGCTCCAAGGTCTCTGGGCAGTTATTGTTATGGGTCTCTGCGGGTCTTGCGGTCTCCCCGCCAGGATCATAATTCACGGCACCAGAGAGAGGGTCCTGTCCTTCCATCCTTCCTTTGCCAAGCTGCGGGGCAATAATTTAAATGCGCTCTATTATTTATTTGAGCATATGTCAATGGAACTTATTTATTTATTCACGCCCAGCCAGGCACCCAGCCAGCCAGCAACAATAAACAATAAAGTTGCCATCGTATAGAGATGCAAAAATGTGAATAAAATCGCTGGAGTTGGGCTGCTGGCTCCCTGTTAATGAGCAGGGAAAATTTCCAAGGGGGGAGGCTGGATAGGGAAATTGGGAGAAAAATCGTTTGGTGGTGGGAGAAGAAAGGGGGGTCAAGGGTTTATGCGGCACTGAACGCGCGTTGCGCTGACGTTAATTGACCGCAACAATTTTTTCTTTATTTTTTTTATATTTCTCTGCGCCTCTGCAGTGTGCAGTAAATTTTAATGAAATTGCTGCCATTGCACACACGCCCACCGATATATAGGAGGCGTGGCCAATTGCCGGCGATTTTCCCCGCCGTCTCCCAAAGTGCTGATGACATGCTGTCAGCGACACTTCGTGCCGCGCCGTGCCGCCGCTTGTTGCATGCCACAAAAGGAGAGGCGAGGCGTGGCGAGAAATAAAACTGAAATTAAGCACACACACACACAAAAATTAAAATCTATAAAAAATATATACGACTCGGGCTTAATTCGCGGTTCACTGGCCATCGGCTATATACCATATATATTTTATATATAAATATTATCCTCCTAGCCTCGCGCGGCTGCCATTTTTGATGTTGCTGCATTTATAAATTAATTAAAAATAAATTACTTTATGTTGCATGTCCAATTTCATTAAAGTTGCCAATGCAACAACACGGCGGCAATAAAAAATAAATAATTATGCAGAGAGAGAGAGACAGTCGAGAAGAAAAGTTAAACTGCCAAAGTTTTTATGGCGAAAAAAAAGAGAGAGAGAATAAGTTTTATATCTTTGATGAAAACTATTTAATGGTTGTAGTTTTAGTATAATAAATTAAAAAAAGTATTTATACACTGAGAAATGTACATACTTATAATACATAAGAAGTGTTTTAATATTTTCACAACAAAATATCAAATAAACTTGGAGAGTTAACTAAGATAACAATCTTAGTAAGTAAAGTTTTACCTAAGATTTAAAATATTTTAAAATTGTTATAGAAGCTAATTAAGTGATGAGCTTCTTTCTAATTATTAAATATATATATATATATATATATAAAATAATATATATAATATAAATAATGGTTTAATTCCCTATTATACACTAATCATAGGAGTTTTTGGTGGGTATACAAACTTCTACTTCCCCAAGCTAGCTTCCTTACTTGTTACTTTAACACCTGCTGGTGCCCTCGCAACAGGTGACTTAAGCCATAGATAAACCATTTGTATACACAATGCACCTCATATTTGCCCGGAGGGGGGGGAGCACCACCAAATACACAGATTCCCGCGAGTTAATGTCGCATTAAGACGGCAATCCCCGGCACTCGGCATGCATATAAATCCACTCGCTCATATATATTCCCCCAGAAAGGAGGAGGGATGGAGGTCAGCAGGCGTTGAAGGCGCTGCAGAGATGGTGCAGATAAATTTTCATGTTGTCACACCTTGCAACTTGCATGCCACATAAATATATTTTCAACTCGAGCCGCCGAAAGGTGACACAGTCTGCATATTTGTGCAAGTCTCCTTTTTTTATATATTTTTTTATATTTTTTTGGTGGAGAGTAAGATGTCACTGAGGTAGCCAGGTAACCTCCAGGAAGGTGGCAGGGCAGGGCTCCTTCTCGGAACTTGCCGCATTTAATTTATTGGGAATATTTGATGTTCGATTTCGTTTTCGCCACGTCCTTTTTCTCCTCACCTTATCGCCCTGCCATTGACATTTTTATTTTTTTGGCAGAGATTGCTCTGGCATATCTGGGATCGAGGAGTTGCATAAATATATGTATAAATAAATAAAGGAAGCCGACATATTTGCTTATCGCCCAAAATATTGGTATTTATGGTTGACTTTGCATTGAGCAACAGTTTAGTTTCAGGTTGAGATAAGTGCAAGTTGAATGAAAAATATAAAAGAGAAAAGAAAAGTTAAAAACAAGTAAATGAAGGGGTTAATTTTTAGTAAATTAATCGAGGTGGTTATTAAATAATTAACATGAAAGTTCCATGTTTATAAGAAGCTTTTAATAAACTTGATGATATAAACTTAGAATCTTTTAAACCAAGTAACCTGGTTGCCATTTTAGACTGCGGTGTCAAACACTATTCATACTCATTTCACTCACTCTCCCACAGTTCAGCGCTACAAAGCCACACGTCTATAATACCTAGGAAAATTGTATTTTATTTTTGTTACCTAGTAAAAGTTTAGGTTTCATTTCCCGAAATGAAGAGAAGGGTTATTAACGTTTTCAACAACAACCACACTACTGACAATCTCTCACGCACGGAGCTGTTGGAATGGGTCAACTTGCGCCTGGGATCGGAATTCTGCTTGGTCGATGAGCTCTGCACGGGTAACTGGGTCCCAGATACCCTTTAGGGTTACTTATAGATTGTCATTGCAGGTGCCGCCTACTGCCAGTTGATGGACGAACTGTTTCCCAATTCAGTGGCCCTGCAACGCGTCAAGTTTACGACCAATCTCGAGCACGAATTCATCCAGAACTTTAAGATTTTACAAGCAAGCTTTGACAAGATAGGGGTGAATCAGGTCATACCCATAGAAAAGCTGAGCAAAGGCCGCTTTCAGGACAATTTTCAGTTTGTGCAGTGGTTCAAGAAATTCTATGATGCCAATAGCGGTTGGATCACCTGGGACTACGATGCCAGGGCGGTGCGTGGGGGAGCCCCAATGGGCTTTGGTCCTGGTTCCGTGTCAAAGAACTTGGCCAGGCCCAAGTTGCCGGCAAAATCTAGGACGGAAAGCTCTACAGCATTGCAGAATTCGAAAAGCTTTAAGGTCGTCAAAAAGATTCAAGAAAAGTCTAGGGAGCCTGCAGAGACTACCAACTCTACGGAACCCGCAAGTTCTATTCCCAAAAAAATGTCAAATCAACCTGACAATGGGCTCTGCACCCCGGGCTGTCAGAAGAAGATTCAAGACCTTACAGAAGAGTTACAAAAACTCACCGACAAACTCAAAGGGATGGACCAACGCCTTCGCAGCTCCGATGCAGAACGTGATTTTTACTATTCAAAGTGTCGCGATATAGAGAGTCTTTGCCAATCACTTGATGCCAATGGAGGGATTTTGTCGTCTAACCAAATTTATGATATAATGTATGCCACTGAGACGCCGGAAGAATAAGAGAATAACAATTGGCATGAAAATTTGCAAGTTTATATAGCTTTCTATCGAGTAGATCTTTCGATTCTAAATTATCTTTGTGACTCTGCTTAATAACTTGTTAATTAATTACGTTTACTATTAAAAATTTGTTTCACTTTTCAAAGAAATACAGGTTGAAATAAACCAGAATAATACTATTCCTTTAAACTAATCATGATATCGTATTTTTCAACTCAAACTTAATCCTTAAATGGTCTCATTTTGAGCTCCACTTTACTAGCCGCTGCCCAAGCGATTAACCAAAAGTCCCATCTACGTAGAAATCAATTAGCAACTGTCCAGGAAAAAAGGTAAATTCCAGGGCAGACAGCATAATGCCACCCAGAAGTTGTCAATGGAGGAGCACAGAGAGAGGCGAAGACCACACACACAGCAACTGGAGCAGGCGAAAATGAAGCCTGGTCACGCACAGAGAGAGCCGAGAGTCCAAGATAGAGATCCCAATTCCCAGCTCGAAATATGAAATTATTCAAATGCAGCCGCCACAACATATAAATTCAAGTTAATCCGCACAGCTGGATGTCGGGATTAGCCCCGGGGGCTAACGAGTGAGTGGTTTCTAGACCTGCTCCGCTCCTCCTACATTTTATATAGAGCTATATATAACGCGTATAAGGACTGGCCCGATGATGGGCGCCAGCCTTTAATCATTATTAATTATCCAGGGCGAGCGCAGAGTATAAATCAAGGGATCAAGGGAGAGCAGGAGTAACTTGTATATATGCCTTGCCAACCTGCAAATCTTGCTGAGAAATGCGACTAATTACAGGTGGGAATCATCAGGATTGTATTTATTTTAAGCCTGGCAAAGGGTCAGTTCCCCCCACGATTCAATTAATCCATGGCTGCAAAGAGCTCTTCCGAATAGTCATCAGTCTCCATGTTCCCAGTCTTATAGATGAGGCACATGTCCATGAAATCATACTCCCCCACTTGGAGCACCTTTCGGGCCAGTTCCTCGGCCTCCTGGATATTCAAAGACTCCCGCCAGTGTTGCGTCAAATAAGCATAGGCCTCTTCAATGCCTTGGTTGCCCTTGACGGCATACATGAGGCGTGTGGATCCTCCATTCAGTCCCATGTTATAGATATGCAGTCCCTCGTTGTCCTGGCCAGCCAGCAAGATATCCACGGACTCGGCTGGCTCATACTTGCGGTACAGCATCTCCTTCAGCTGAGCAACAGACATCTTTTGGCCACGATCTCGGGTTTGGTAGTCCACCAGGGCGCCCACCTCCTGGATTATGTCGCGATCAAAGTTGGTTTGAGGGGCAAGGCAGCTGTAAGGGGTTTCAGGTGAAGTTTGTTTATAATTTCTAGATCTAAACCTTACTTGATGCGCTCATCCAACAGACAAATAAGGTGATTCCGGGAATTGGTGGCCATCAAGACGCCTTCGCTACAGATCAGGCTCACCCGATTGACTTCCGTGGGAGAACTGTGGTTATAAAATCAGCAAAATACGTATTTAAACCCCAATCAAAGACATACCTATTGTCCTGCAACATCTCTTAGCTTAAAGAAATCCTCAAAAGGCGACGAAGCAGCAAAAAATCAGGAAAAGTCAGTTCCAAAAAGCTTAAAACCCAAATTGTGTAAGCGATATCTCCCCAAGTTGAAATGGTAGACAAAAAACCCGACTGACGACCCTGAAACGAGTGGAAGATGACGACTATTAACCCAAGTGGATTAAGGCTAAAAAGTGTCAACGCCTGCGGAGCGAGAAAAAAACCTGTGTGGCCCCGCAAAAAGCGTGGATATCGTTGTCAATCCCCCATTGTCCGTAGGGTAAGCGATATTGGCAGACCGAGGCTATCTGTCACCTACACTTCAACGCGATCAGCAGCCACTGATGGCCAAGATGATGATGATTCTCCGCTGTTAATGATGATGAGCTTCCTCGATGGGCCATAAATATACACCAACAGCTTCTGCACCTGCTGGAACTTGGCCCTAAAAATAGCACCAACTCGTTTGTTGGCCCAGTCAAGACCAGTAGGCCTTGTGCAATCTCAGATATGGTGGATATTTTAACGAGCCCCATCAATTCCCGAGCAGGGACAACGTTGTAATCGATGTGTTAATTAGCTTAGCCAGGGACAGGGATTAACTAACCTCAAGTCGGAATGGATTAGGCAGGACAACGATGGCACAAATTAATGGCAAAGAAATGACAGTTAAAAGCCACAAGTTAAAGTCAACTTTGATGGTAATTAAAAGAGGAAAGTATGACTGTTTTTAATATAAAAATTAGTTAGGGATGACAATAAATATCCCTGCTTTATCGATGTATAAATTGATATTTTAACATTGCAAACTGAAACTATTTTAAGCCACAATCCTAGTTAATTGGCTAAAAATTAATTAACGCTGTGAAAATGGAAAATATCGCTCATCAAAATGAAGTAATGACCATAATTAATTGATGAAAAACGTGTACAAAGGAAATTAGCTCATCATAAAAAGCGTTTATTAATAAAGCTAAATTATTTATAGGCAAGAGCACGTTAAAGACCATCACTACCAATCAGTTTTAATCATCATTAGAGGCCAGATTGTTTATGTGGTTAAAATGCCAGGCTAATCTGCCAAGCTCTGTTCCTTCTGTTTTCGTTTTTACACAAAATAATAATCGCGTGTGCTTACATTATTATTATTATTATCGTACTCGGTTACTGACTGTCTGGAATTTAATTTTTTTTGGCATTTACAAAACACTTCAACCCGTTTTTGACAAGAGCCCGGCGATGACAGCAATTACCATACGATTTGCATGACGTTTATGTTTATTTTCGCTTTGTATTCTCCTCGTTCTTGGCCAGGCCCAGGCACAGTCTTTGGCCACCAGACGAGCTCTGCTCAGGTTGATTTCGATTTTGACAGCTGCCTGACTCACTCAGCTGGTCGCATTTTCGTTGGATTCGCATTTCATTAGCTTGTTATGGACCACCTACGGCCAATATGCTGACAGCGGAGGACTCCCCACTGCCGGTCTCCAGTTTATTTTTTTTTTTTTGCAAAGACCAGACCCACAGCGAAGCAATTAAGCTTGGGTCTCTGGCATCGAAAACAATCCCATCGAATGGGGCAATTTAAGGTATTTACAAAAGCGTAAAAAGGTAAAGAAAACAAGACCAGCCTCGGACTCGGACTCAAACTTCCCAATCAAAACAAGACGAGAACCACTCGAGGGCCTCTCTGAAATGTCAATCGTTCGAACTTAAAGGTAGCCTGGTCACTACCTGGTTTTAAATCTAAAAAAAAGCATAGTTTTCCAAGAGGGATTTAAAAAAGGCCAAGGTAGCTGAAGAATGAATATGAAAACCTTGTTTTTATTGGAAAACTTCAGTTGAAAAAAGAGAAACATGTTTCAATCGGGAATACATAAATTTTCTGGCTTTACTACTTCATATCAATCACATCGTCGTCATCGTCCGAGTCCTTGTTCTGGATCTTGAAGTAGAGCATGGCATAGGTATCCTTGGCGGTGGACACCATTCGCACCCAGTCGCGGAGGCTGTTCTTCTTGAGGTATCGCTTGGTCAGATACTTGAAGTAGCGCTTCGAGAAGTGCGTGCAGCTGTTGATGACCAGCATGGTGGACTTGGGGCGCTCAAAGTTCACCATGTCGCCCAGGTTGTTGATGCGCATGTTTACCTTGATGTGACTCTTCATGTACTTCTCCAGATCGACCAGGTCCATCAACAGATCCTCCACCAGGCAGGAGCAGTCGATAACGAAGCGTTGCCAGACCTTCTTTTTGCCAGCAGCTCCCTTGCCGCGCAGCTGCAGTTTCTGGGATTTCTTTGAATTGGGCTTGGGCATCGGTTTGGGGGCACGTGGCTTCTTAGCCTTGGGGGCAGCCAACTCCTCCACTTCCTCCTTTACGGCTTCCAGGGTCGTTGAAGGTTTCTTTGGCAGCACGCGAAGCTTCTTTTGGGGAGCAGGAATAGCAACAATTGGAGTCGCCTCCTTTGTACCAGGCTTTCCTTTTTGAGCTTCAGTTGTAGCATTGGTTCGTAGCTTCTTGGACACCACGCTGCTGGAGGATTCCGATGAAGACACCGCCTGTCTCTTAGTGCCTTTTCCAGCTGCCTTCTTGACCGCATCTTCGGTCTTCTCCTCCGCCTTCTTCGGCAGGCTCTTCAAGGCCACAGCCGGAGCTTTAGCCACCTTCTTGGAGTTCATCGGTGGTGGTGGTGGTGCCGGCGTATCGGCTGCCACACGTGATTTGCCAGACGCGGCGGCGGCGCTGGTGGTGGTAGCCGCCTTACCTTTGGCAGTTTTTGGCTTTTCGGTAGCCTTCTTTTTGCCCTTGGGCGCATCAGTATTCTTGGATGGCTGCGGCTTCATTTTCTGACGGAAAAACACAAATTCAGGCACTTAAATACAACTAACTACAAGAATTTTCTTACTGTTTCGAAAAGCACACGTCTGAAAGCACCGGAAATGAGCAAAAAGAGAACTAGTGTGGCCAGCTGCTTAAGAAAAGCGAAGTTGGCTGCGCTTGAGCTGCAAGGCTGCCAGGTTTTCTTACGAAACTTGTTTACTGGAAATGCGAATGGCAATTATTGCTGTTTCCCCTTTGGCGGTTTATTGAAAAATAATAATAACAAGGAGGAGAAGAAGGAGTGGGAATGTTGACGCTCTGATTTTACGCTGATTAATTGGCACGAAATTATTATGGCCACTTGTTCCGGGCAGGCAGGCATCAATTTACTCCTGCAATTTGTATCTTTTCCGTTGCAAGGCCTCATTTTTTAAGCAGGTTTTAATACAGGCTAACTGCCCTTAACTGGAATCGATTTAATCTGACGCGACACACGTTTCAGATAAGTTAATAACTGAGCAAGTACTTAGCTTTTGAGGTAACTTTTCCCAACGATTCCCCAGCGACCTTTCCCACAACCCAGAAGCCTGATTAAACTCTCATCAGTTCTTTCTCTCCTCCGAAACAAACATTTAACTATCGCTTCAATATATTTTTTTGTTTTTACCCAAAAAAAGAAATCCCTTAAATACCATAACATATCGCTTTGCAACGAGCTCCATTTATCAAATTCAAATGAAAGAGTCGGTGGCCACCAACTGGGATTTGGCTTGGTGGGGAAGGTGGGGATGCCACCTATCCTATCGGCGCGCTGGAGGAGGAAATAAAAACAAACAAAAAAAAGTGCAAGGCAAAGTGAATTCCCGGGGAGCGTTTAATCAAAATTTACCGGCGAACGCGTTCGCTGACAATGAGAAATTGCAACAAATTCGCGCAACAGCGAAACCTTCTCTCTGTCAGAAAACCAGGCCCAGGCCTGGGGAGGAGCTAGTGGAGCTGAAGTGGAGGAGTGTCGATAGCAGCGCAAACAAAGCGCCGCAGAAAGACCAAAGAAATGCAGCGATCAGGTATATACAGAAACTTAACCCTCAGCCTAGCTTATACCCTTTCAGGGGAAAATATTTAAAAAATATAATTGCTTTGGATGGTAAAAAGAGTAATCGAAATAATCGAAATTGAACTTTCCTGAGCAGTTGTGTTCAACAGATTTTTTATACATTGTGGAATTTATTGCATTGGTTTCTAATTTAGAGAGTTTTATGTATTTTCACTTTAGGATATATATGAAAATGTCTCAACAAAATTTTAGTTTTCTTAAGGCAATCGATAATAAAGACTTTCGATTATTTCGATTACTCCTAAAATAACAGAAATTAGTTTTATATGGGTACAATTTATTGGAAAATTCTCATCTCTATAAAATTATTATTTTAATTAGTTTGATGTCTAACTTTTTTCTATAAAATATGAAAATGTCTGAACAAAATTTTTTTTGCTTACTCCTACAAAAAAATCTCAACTAGTTTCTTAAAGAATATAATTTATTTAAAATGATCCTTTTCTTTAAATTCTATCATATATTCTTATTTTTTTAGTTCTCTTAATTATTTAATTTTCATACTCAAAAGAAAGGGTATTCATTGCGTCGCTACTTAAACCCATCTACGACCCATCTCTCCATGAAGCTCCTGCTGCTAGGATGCTACTCGATTTCCCTGCCGCCGCCTACTGGATATTGTTTTCTGGCTTTACCTTATTTTTTTCGTTTTTGTTTTTATTCTCTTTTTTTATTTTTTGGGACTTGTATCGGTTGCGGATATGAAAAATGATGCCGAAACAATTTTTACAACCAAAAGCGCTCGCAGGCCTAACCTCGCATCCTCTCCCATTCAAGTGCAACTCGCGGATTCGGATATTCGGAGGCGGAGGAGGCTGGCAGAGGCCTTCTCCCCACTCGAAATTGATTGATGGGCCGCTGCAGCTATGGGAAAACTGCACCGGTGGGCGTGACGCACTGCACCCAGCCCAGGCTCTCCCTTCCCCTCAAGTGATCGAAGCGGAGTGGAGTCGTGCGGCTGGCTTCTGGCCCGAAATCAATCTGGCTAAACGGTAGCAAATGGGCGGATGGAAAACGGAAAATGGTACTGGGGGATTTGGCTCTGCGGTGGCGTAGTAGCTGGGAGTTTGGCTCGTTATGAATGCCAAATGGATGTCCAGGGATATCGATCACTTCGACATCAGGTGGGCAGAGGATCGCTGTGGAGTTCCTTGAGTTTAACTCCTTTGTAAGATTTGTGGCGAAAAGTGAAGGGGCATAGCTCTTGTTTTTATGTGGGGAATTTAAAAAGAAACATTGCTAAGATTATTTAAAGCTGAAGAAGACCATTAAACTAATGAACAAATTATTTATTTAAAAAGGAAATTAATTAAACTTCAGTATTATCTACAATCTATAACGACATATATCACCCTAAAACCCCACAAAACTTTATTTAACTCAATAATCCCCACGACCTAAGATCCTTTTTTATGGCCCAATAAATATGCAGAGTTAACCAGAGATCTGGCTAATGAAATGCAAAACCGCCAATTGAGATAGAAAATGCAAATCTACGCTTGCCAATCTGCTAAGCCACAATATACGACTATATAGAGCAAGTTGGCTAAAAAACTGACTCAACACACATTGCACATTCGCTGGAAAAAAGCCGAAATTGGAAATGTGCCAGGCGACTCAAATAAACAGTTATTGAGTTGACTGTTTGACACTTCCCGCTGCGATAGGCGGCCAAAAGGAAAATGGGAAATGGATACACAACACCTGGTGGGTGGGTGAGACTGCAAGACTGCGACTCCGCCGACTCCCTCGCCAGTCGCTCTATTAATTAAATTAAATTTCAATATAAATTCAAATGGGCAAAGCGTGCCCGCTCACGAGTTCTAATTGGGCGAGGAAAAGCGGGAAAGCGGAAAAGCCCGCCCATTGTGAGCCAGTAAGTCAGGATTGCCAAGTGGCATTGCGGGTGGCAAAGGCCTAATTGTTTATTTATGGAAAGGTTCGGTCCGGTTTGCCTTTCGCAACTCTTTTCGCCGAGGGAACGCGGGCATCGAATTTCATTAATCACGCAAATGCTTATCGCATGGCCGGCAGGCAGGCACAGAAGCCTGGCTTGGCTCCTATATTTCCCCGAAGAAGAAAATCGTGGTCATAATTTGTCTGACTTGCTGGAAAAGCAAGCGGCAAAGGAGAGCGTTGTGAATGCGAAAATGCGGCTTGCATGACCAGGCCAAACCCCTCATCATCATCATCATCATGGTCCCTGACCCTGCCCACTGACCACTTCCGTGCCCGCCTTGCATTTCGCCTCGGTTCTTTTGCAACTCTGATTATGTGATGCTTCAATTCTGGTCCAAGTCTGGAAAATCAGGGGGCGAGAGGAGGTGGAGGAAGCGCTGTAATTCTAGCTCTCAGTGTGTGAAAATTCTGTGGGAGGCTGCTTTCGAGTGATGTGCAAATCTCGACCAGGTTGCGATGCATTCTTTCGAAAGGTAACGGCCTATGAAGGTGTCAGAAGGGGACACAGCGAGAAAATAGTAGGGTTTTAGGAATATTTTATAAGATTATTATAGAAATTTAATGTAGTGCATTCTCATTAGAGATATATATTTATATTCTCTCTTATTTTTCGTATTGATAAAAGTACTTTTGAGACTGGGAAATAATGTATTACACCCTTAGGAGATTTCTCCCAGTGCCGAAAGCCTTTTCATCCCATCACCAAAACCCTCCTTTCATATCCTAGTGGAAAGACAGGCCCTTCTTCGATCCTATTTACAGTTCTGGCTGCTTTGTGTGGTCCATTACAATCACTTAAGTTGATAGTGGGCCCCCGCCGGTCACATTGAACTTTGGCGCTCGCCCACTCTCTAAATTAAGGTATTATCAGATCCAGGCAGTCGTAACTTATGTCATTTATGTCCACGATATCTGAGGACACGCCCACTCGTCCACTTTCTGGATGGAAGATTGCCTCAGGAGCCAAGGGAGAAGGAGAGCAGCCGCTGCCAGACAACCTGGCAGACACTCGGGCGGCCTTCCTGGCTCCTTTTTGGTCATATTAGCAAGGCAAATTTCCCAAAAGGCGCGGGAGAGCTCTCTTCCTTCCCTCCCCTCCCCTCTCTGGTGCGATGCGCCAACAAGTATGTAATACAATCTTGAAACTCGAATAACGGAAATAAAAATTATGAGGCTGGAATATTTTAGCGCTGGGCAATTTGCATAAGAAAACCGTTACGAGAGCGAAAAGGAACTCCGGCCGGAGAAGTGGCCACAAGATTGGACCCGACTCTACTTTATTTTTTCGTTGTTGTTGTTGGTGTTGGAAGCAGGAAATATATGTATGTGTAGGAGGCAGTGTCCTTATAGCACGTGCCTAGCAGCAGGTCCTCGCCCAGTTTATTGTTGTTCTTGGGCGTTGTAATTGATAAGTTAATTTACATTTTTATTGAATGGCCAAGGCAATTGTTGTGACTTGTCGCCGTTGTGCTCTTTGTCACGAAGGTCAGGTCACAGGACGCTTTGCATATATTTCCCCCATTTTCATGCATACCAAAAAAGTACAGAAACAGAAAATGTTTTATATGGCTCTCGGTCTTTTCTTCCTCTGTGAGTTAATAAAACGAATTTGTGGTTTATGCTCCTAACAAGTCGGCCGTGTTAAATGCTCAATTGTGCGTAAAGTCTGGGCAACAAAAAATATAAAAAAAATAAAAACGAAAACAGAAACAAATGCCGTATGTGACCACAAAAGAGTTTTGGAAAATCAAGAAATTAAATGAGTTAAATTGAGTGATCAAAGGTGATGGTGCCTCTAATCAAAGACTTGATTTTTGATTAAATTTTTGTGGGAGAAAATGTAGATGAAAATGAGGAAAATAAGCATGTTATGGTAGCTAGAAATATGCTTAGTAATACAAATAATAAAATAATTTTTCAATTAGTTTTTTTATATTACCAAAACTCCTGAATTTAATAAGCCCTTAAATTGCTTTCCAGTTTATCTTGTATTTTAAACAAAGTTAATAATAACCACAAATATTTTGTACAGCCCGAATTAAACAAAATTTAAATGATACAAA